TCTCTCTCTCTCTCTCTCTCTCTCTCTCTCTCTCTCCAGCAAGCACACATATACTAGAGCAAAAATCTCCTAAAAATAAATAAATAAATTCCTAGAATCACTAAAGTAACCCTGTGTTAATTATTTTTAGTAAAATTGACCAGTCAAAGTGAAGTCAATTCACAATTTCTATTATATTGATAACAATTCTTAGAACATTCAAATGTCCCTTAGATTTTCATACCATAGTGTTAATTCAAGATAGGCTTTCTTGCTATTCTCCTTGCTAGTGATTTTCTCTACTTCCTGTTTTTTATAATTATTATTATTCTCAAACTATTACCATATAAATAAATGCTGTCTACATTAGATTTTCAGTGTGGGGTTTTTTTTATTTTGTTTTGTTTTGTTTCTTTCTTTATTTATTTTTAATAACAGATGGTATTTGGCTATGTAAAAGCTTTTCAAAATGTGGATGTCAGGTTTTCTAGAAAGCTTGACAATCATCTTCATATTTTTTCCAGAAGATTTTCTTCCCTTATTTTTTGTATTTTTTAAATCAATGATTTTTTTTAAATTCCAACATAATTATAGAGTGGTTTTGCTACATCTCATTACTATAAACTTGGTTACTTCTGAATTTACCAATCAGATGGCTATGTACAAGAATAAAACTTTCCTTCCCTTGATCCTATCTCCATTCTACCCTGATTCAGAAGATCACTGTCATGAACTCTTCACCCACTGGCAATACAGTGTCAGTTAATTCCAGTTATTTCAAACGGTCTTTGAGTTTTTATAGTTATAAAAATGACATCATGAGAACCTATGAATAAGCATGAAAATATGTACTTGCGTTCAGCAGTGCTCTGAAACTGATACTGCCAAGATTTCATGAGGGGAATATGAAGGGACTTCAAACATTTTGTGGAAAAGAATTAAGATACAATTTATGTTGTTGAGAAAAATTCTGAAATCCATGCGTTTTCATAGTATGCATTTTCCTCATACAAAAACAAGGCAATAACAGATATAAAGCTTAAAAAACCCTACAGCCACATTCCATTTAGATCCCAGTATTTACTTACAGTGTACCTGTCTCACTTAGGAATGCTGAAATGGGTAGGTGCTCAATAAACCTTTTCATTCCAGTAGCGGGCAGGCACTTTGGTTTGCCAAGTGGACTGATCTTGAAAATATGAATCTATTAATCCCATGCTTCCGTGTAACCAGTGTCCATCACTCAGACCACCCAAATGGATGCCCTCTAAAAGTCTGAAGCACGGCATAGTTGGCTCTTCTTTCCGAGGACCAGTGTTTACATGTGATAGATGCAAAGGTGTGTAAGATTCTCTGAGGCCAGACATACATTTGCTTGGCCTATAACATATCTGGGGGCCTTAAAATGCAAATATAAAACTCTACATTTTTTTTGAGTTAAAAAAAAATACTAAGCATCTCAAGCACAAATTAATTTCATCTGTCAAAAGAAACCAAATCAGAAAAATCTCTAAGTCCATCATTCATGTGATCTATTGGATTTTCAAGGAAGGCATGATGCATGTTTTCTGCTTTTCTATGCAAAAATGCATCATGACTTTTCCAACAACCCAATATAAGGCCAGAATACATAGGTTGAGGTTATGAATACATAGAGTGGAGGTCATTTTCTAGTTTTGTTTCCATAAAAACTAGCATTCTTTTCCTTGAACAAGAGCATTAACCAAGTTTTTACAGAAAAACAGATTCTGAGAGAGTCAATTGAGAAACCAAAGCATCACTTCAACCACTGGACCTTTCGACAAACTCCCTTTAAGTATGAAACCTTCATTTATTTTTCTGTTGTATTTCCCTTTCCCCTAAGATACTAAGCATAAACCAGGTTGATAAATAATTGGCATTCACTAAATAAACCCACCATTATTGCTTTTGTCCATAAAAATCTCAAAAGAAAAGATTTTTAAGGCAAAATTATTTACCAACAATTGAGATATTTTGAACCAAATTCCTCAATATTAAAAACTATTGTGACCACTCAATGTTAAAAGTGCCTGACACTGTGAACATTGATTGGATAGATTTATCCTGTAGGGTCAATCCACATCTTTTTGTTGAATAAAATGGGTTGTACTAAAAATTAACAAATTCTGATGTAACCTTGAAACCACTCTGATGACAGCTATTTTCCCCCATTATTTCTCCTGTGACGTCGCAGCCAGTTCCTGACATTATTAACTTAAAATACAAGTTGAGCTCAGCATTCTTACCTGGCACCCTCTTTGCCCAGTTGATCATGTGAACCAGTTCTCTGTCTGCCAAGTTGGTCAATAAGCCCATCATCGACGCTTCACTGAACGGTCTGGTAGGATCATACTCGGAATAGATCATGGGGGGCTCTGCTTCCAGCAAGGCACTGACCATCTGATCAGCTGTCAAGGACAAAGCTGGGCTGTTCTTCTTGTTGTGCTTAATTGAGAGAGGGTTTGACCATAGATTGGCAGCTCTTATGCCTCCAGAGGGTCCTGCGTCACTCCTGCCCTCCCCATCATCTCTCTGGCGCTTGTGTTTCAACATTCTACCTCCTCTTCGGTCCTTCCGTATACCTGAGAACACATGGGGGAAACAAAAACAATTAGTTTATTTGTTTACATATGTAAACTTTTATACAAAAACTGTCTTCAATGCTAATAACACTTCATTTTATTGAATAAACTACTTTAAGGCACAGGTAAGCTATCATAGTAATGAGGGCGCCCAGAGAAAAATGAAAAGGCTTGCCTTTGTAGCATTTCTGTTTCCACAATGGAAATACTGCCACCATAACAAATTTCAAGCCATTTGTCTGACATCAAGTGGCTTGTAAAACTGAAAATTTAACAGTAGGCTTTTGTGAGCCAGTGTAAGCCGACTCTGCCACACCAGAAAAGTGTGTGTGTACCTGTGTGTGTGTGTATGTGTGTGTATGTAATATGCTATAAAAATAATAGAATTATAAGAACTATTTCTTAATATGGTTTAGCATCAGATTGCTCTTGCTAAAAGCATTCTTTTAATAGTACACTAAAAGGACATTTTAAAATCGTTTAGTAAATATCTTTAATCATCCAAATAGACCTCTTAATAGACAACACTGAAGAAGAATGACTTGCCCAAAATGTATGATACAGCCCCTGGACTCCAAAGGTTCTTGGGAATTCTCTTACTACAATTAAGGTGCATTTTATAACAGTAGGAGTTAACCCAAGTCCCTCCAGTGGCTTATGATTTCAAGCTTTTCACAAATGTGTTTCTATTTTCCAAATACAAAGTATTAAAACAGTAGAAAATAATTTCCTTCCAAGGTTGACCCAGCTGTGGTTCTCACTAACTAAATTATGGAATGGGGTAGAGCAAGAGAATCCAATCTTTGTGCTGTGATTCTCTGAGGTTTCAGTTTAACATCTTAGCTAAAAAAAAAAAAAAAAAAAAAAAAAAAAAGCCACATTGTGCTTCTCAAATGTATCAGAAAAAGAAAATATTTTGAAAAGACAAAGTCAACAAAAGTTTCCATATTTAAAAAAAAAAAAAGAAAAGTCAATCTTGAGGCCACCATGTGGCATGGTGGTTAAGATGCTGGTCAACCATGTGGTCAACCTGGGTTTGAGTCCCAGACCAAATGGCTTGAAAATAATGCCATGTATGTGTGTATGCATGTCCCAAACCCCAAGAGGAGAATGAAGAAAAAGGGATTAGTGTGATCACCTCCCCAGGGGGTGATTTCTCACTTTTCCTTTGTCTGTCTCACTCTGCTGAGCCCACATACCCTACAGAAAACAAAAGCAAAAACAAAGTCGATCTCTCCAAAATTTTTCAGACAACAATAGTACTTAGATTTATATGAAGGAAACACTCATTCTGCTAAAAAGTTAATACATCATTTTTAATATCAAAGATGTGAAATAAATATTCTTTATCATCTGTTTCATCACCTGAAAACAAAAGATTAACTAGTGTGAGACATTATTCTATTTCATTCTAATTTGCCAAGGAACTTGGATCAATGCGTGGCTATGTTTTTCAATTAATATATAACTTTTATTCTTGTAAGTCTAGACTAGAAATATTAAATGACATTTTAAAAAGATATAAAAGCCATTGACCCTTCTATTGGCTGAGTATTAAAACAAGCATTTTACAGAACTCTTCAAATAAGTGATAATAGTAAATGGTATCATTATTATTGTCACTAATATGCATTAAGCATTTACCATGTGTTTTAAACACTTTCACTTCACATGGAAGCACTTTACAACTAATTTAAGCTGTTAGAATAATCTTGTAAGGTAGATATTGGGAAACCGCTACTTAAAGAGACTAATAAGCTTGTCCAAGATCTTTCACTAATAAATATGATTCCATATGCTGGCTTTAAAATGAATTTAACTTTGTTTTCAGTTAAACACAGAATATTAACCATCATGTTGGTGCAAAATTGACAAGTTTAGGAACACCTAGAAGTAAAAGAATAGAAGAACAGTGTCTAAGCAGCCATTATTGTAACTATGCTATTGCCAGATGTGCTTGTGAGATTAGCATGTGTGAACTAAGGGAGGTGATACCCCCACTCTCAGCTCATCAGGGCATACCTGAAATATCTTGTTGGATGCTGCACACCAAAGAAGAAAAAATCTACTCAGACTAGAGTTACCAGAATGGGGAGGAGACATGAAGTCAGGTCACATGGAAAACAGCTAAGGAACAAAGAGAGGTTAGCCCAGAAGTTAGCAAAAACCCAAGCCTCACTCTCAGGTGGACTGTCCTGTATGAAATGGCTTCCACTTGTTCTCTCTGAGCGCAAAGGCTAAAACAGAAGACTGCTAGGAAGTATGGGTTTCAGCTCAACTACAGTTCAATAAAAGGACAGTTTGTCATACTCAGAGGTGACAACAAAGATGGAAGTTGCCACCATAGGAGATAATCCAAAGATGGATCATTGGAGGCTTCCTGTAACAGGCTAGATGAAGACTTACAGGGATGGAAAGTTCCTGCTAAGCTTTAATTACCCAGAAAGTGTTTGCTTTAGGTGACCTTCAGTAGACTTTCCAGTGCTGAGATAGTATGACTCTGTGAGCTTCTATTTGAAGTGGAAAAAGAAAACATAAGACCAGCAAGCTTTGAATGACGGGGGGGGGGGGGATCAAAATCAAAGAATCCTTTTAGGTTCATATTTATCAGTAATTTCTGAAGTTAGGATTCTGAAAGGATGAGTTCTGATTGCTATTTACTGACTGGGAGAAGGCTGGGGTTTAAAAAATGCATTGTTCTAGTAGTCAGTATATTATTACTCAAATACTATTTATCCTCCACTCCACAGCTTCTTTTTCTTTTTTTTTATAATTTGCTAGAAGATACATGAACTCACCAGCTAGAGACAGAGAGAGAGAGAGAGAGAGAAAGCACAACCCATAAGGGATGGCCACATCATAATCTCTTCTCCATTTCCCCTTTTAGGATTTGGGCATGCACACACATGCATCCGGCATGTTTCTCAAGCTACTGAGTCTGAAACTTGAATCAAGTCATAGGCCATGTGTGATCCAGTCACCTTCATCATCATACCACCAAATGCTCCCCACCCTCCACTCTATAACTTTACAAAGAAAGGGATCGAGAATGTGAACATATCTCTCAGAAATATTGCAGCAGTGATATCAAAAACTCTTAATATTAGATACACACAGAAAAGCAAAAGATATGACTAAAGAAGAAATGATTAGAAGGTAAAATGTTTATCTAAAATGAAAACAAGAATTACCTGAGGGCCAGTCTGGTAACAGTGGTTAGACACTGTGTGAGGGAAGCCAGATCCCACATGGTTGCAATCCCAACCCTGGCGGCTTGAAAAACATACTGAGTGTGTGATTTTCCACATCTCCATGATAGAGGAAAAAGGACTGAGGAGGGACCAGGCCCCACGGGGGAGTGCTTTCGCCTCTCTATTCCTCTATCTCTATCTCTCTACCTCTTTTTCTCTCAATCTGGCATATACACATACCCACTGGCATTAAAAAAAAAAAGAGCTGACACAACTACATACAAATATGTGCCCTTTAAAAATATGACTCTATTATAAATGTAACTTATCTTCATTTAAAAAATTCTAAAGATAAAGACAAATACGAGTTTAACAAAACAAAACAAAACATACAATTACCACCCACTTTAAAACTTCCTAGCGGTCATACTGCAGACAATTTGATTTCAACCCAGAATTTGAGTCAATTCAAAGACTCACAGTGACAGCTATCAAAAATATTTTATACAAGTATTCTTATATTTAGTAAAAATTTGAGAAGATAGAGAGGTAAACAAAGACAGATCATGCTACCTTCCACTGAATTTTCAGATTGGAGGGATAAAGATACTGATCAAAAGTTATTTAGTACTCTCTAAATAAATTTATGAGTTACTAAACTGCCAAAAGCAAAATAGAAGGAAGAAAGTGACTGGAGAAGGACGAACAAAGGAAGCTTGTCTAAGAGAGGAAGTTACCTTTGAGTCAACAATGAAATTTCTCTTCTTGGGAAATTTAGAGGTAGACCATTCAGGTGGTTTAGTGGTAGTGCTGCTTAAAGCAATAAATTAAACAGCAGGCCCACTGCAGTCTCATGACTATGTGATTCGGACTGCTGAACATTAAACAAAAATGGCCATCGGTTTGGGATACAGAATAATAAACTACGCCTGGAGAGGTGAGAAAAGAGACTATCAAACTGTCAAATATAGAGAGGTAGATTAGCATTAACAAATATTTTCTCCCATGTACTTCAATGTACTATTCTTCCCAAGTGCCAAAGCCCCTAAAAAACATACAGACAAAGCAAAAATAGAAAAGTGTACATTTTATGTGGCCAACTGCACATGACTGGATCCCAGAGCACGGCTCAACAAAGAAGGAATACTTTTCTACTGGAAAGTAGTCATTGTTGATATACAATTCCTGTGTTGATATTGCACACATATTTTATGGCAGCTCAGAAAAACTAACTGGAAATGAGTGGAAGAAGGTGAAAATTGAACCAAGTTCTATTTCTATTTTACTCTAAGTGAGAACTACAGACTGGAAGCAATGATCGCAGGCTGTACCACTATGGAACATACAGCTAGTTCTTAATTACACAGAGTGGTGGGGCATAGGAGTGGCATGGAAAATTGAAATCCAAAGATGAAATTAAAAACTCATTCTCTGCTCCCTACTAAGACATTTTCTAGAATTATCTGTAGAGTAGCAACATGGAGCAATATGTATTTTACCTAAGACTACTCCTCTTTACAGAACTTTGTTTAAATATGAGGGGGAAAGACCAAAGACCAAAGTATAAGTTCATAAAGGGAAAGATGGGAAAAGAAGACAATTATTTGAGATCATGCAAATATCAAAAAGGCAGCCAAGAAGTTTGTAGCAAATGGCATTTTCGTTTGTAATGCCATACAAACAAGATGTGTACTTAGTCAGTAAATGAAATGTCATTTTCCAGTATGGTTGAACAATATATTCAGCAGCACAATACAAATTTTGCACACTGGATATGCTAGGGCTAGTGTACACACATTACTAGCTCTCAAGGTATGTCACTGATAAAACATTTGCATCAAAACAAACTTCTCTATACTTCCTTTTTAAAATTTTAATCTTAACAAGTATTCAATGATTTTTCTTAACCAGACCAATGGATACTTTTTCTGTTACACATTTTTATTTATTTATTTTTAATTTGTGATTTCTTTTTTTTTTTTTTTTTACGGGGAAAATAATCTTAATTAAGGAAAACTCAAACTTTCCATCACTTATCACGCTATCTTGCAAGGTAGAGCTAAGTTGTCATTCATAGACCTGGAGTTAATTCTCTCATATGCCCAGGAAATTACTTTTTAATAACTAAGTATTAGCCTAGTATCTACTACAGACTGGGTGATATTCAATAACTACCAGTTGTTACCTTCCTTGTGTTTTATAAGGAGCAAACTTGGCTATGCCCATTGTAAATATTTTGATGTTTACATTCATTTGTATTTGTCAAATAAAATTGAGAATGTGTAAATGGACATACATGTGTAGATATTCTACTTATCTTCATGATCTATTACAAAGATTTTATTTAACTAAACATGTAAGAAGACATTACGCTCAACAGATATTATTCTATTAAGTATATAATATTCCATTGCCTTTAAAAATTTGTAATAGGGCATGTGCATGGACATGTGTGAGAGAGAGAGCGATCACCCTCTGTGGCATCTGGTCACCCCATGATCTTCTTACTGCAGTTCTCCAGTCTGTTAGATCCTGGTCACTCAGTCATGTGTCCAGGGCATTTCAGGTGGACTGGGCACGGGATTTGATCCACAGTTTGCCACATGGAATCCTCTCACTCTCTTTTTTATTCAGTTTCAAATTTTTATTTTTATAAATGCCTCCAGATGATTATCAAAATCAAGAAAACCTGTGAGACTAATTAATTTTTTTTGGAATTTTTTTTAAGCCTCAGGGTTCAGTACTCCAACAGCAGAGAGCCATGTGGGATCCCATGTGGGATCCCATCCCACCACACCACCAGCAAGCCAAGTCCAAGGAAATTTGTCTGACTTGGAGCTTCCATTACAGCTTTAAGTGTTGAACTATTTTTCCTAGCGTGACTCACAGAAAAGTCTTGTCCAGTTCGGTTTTATGAAAAGAATTAGGTCTTCTGAACATCTGGTGTGATACATTCTCTTTAGAGGCATCACAAATCCTTTACTTTGGTTGTTACATTTCTATCCCAGCTCTTCCAGATGACGTTTTTCTTGAAAGGCCTACCTTCCTGCAGTCGAGGCTAACAATGCAATCAATTATACTTCGTTTCGGATAAAGGACAGTCACGTTTAACAACCGCTGCTTGCTTCGGCCTTGCTCCCTTCGCTCCGGAACCTGAGAAAGTGAGGATGCTGTGTACAAACTCAGCGTTCTGGCCTCTCCACCTTGAATCTCATACTGACCACCCCATGTATGCCGGCCTTAATCTCGTCGTTTTCTTTAACCGGCCCAACTCCCTTGGGCGTCCCAGTCAAGATGGTATCCCCTTCTTCCACGGTCATTATCTTAGAAATGTAGCTGATGATGTACGGGATGGAGAAAATCATGGAGGAAGTGTCACCCTCCTGCCTGAGCTTGCCGTTGACCTTCAGCCAAAGCTTCAGCTGGTGAGGGTCCGGGCCCCTCTCCTTGGGCACAAACGCACTGATGGGGCACGAGCCCGTGAAGCTCTTGGCCAGAGTCCAGGTCAGCCCCTTCTTCTTGCACTCATCCTGCACGTCTCTGGCGGTCATGTTCAGGCACAGGTAGCCTGCCACATAGTCCATGGCCTCGGCCTCGGGGGCACTGCGCGCCCCAGCTTGCCCATCACCACGGCCAGCTCCAGCTCGTGGTGCAGGTTGCGGATGTGGACGGGAAGCAGGATCGGGGCGCCCTCGGTGGCTAAGGCAGCGGACGGCTTCAGGAAGAGCACTAGCTGCCTCAGCACGGCGCTGCGCGTCTCCTTGACGTGGTCTGCGTAGTTTCTGCCCACGCAGACGATGTTCTTTCCCCTCTCCTCAAAGCGCGACAGCGGCTCGGCGGCTGCCATGGCACCGGCTCTGCCCAATTTTGTGATTTCTTATTCACATTTAGTCATCGTACATCTCTATGGCCTATAATAAGGTTTTTCAAATCAAGGATATGACTATATACATCATTTTCAACAGAGAACTTAACATTCTTGAATCTGTTAAGGATTTCCTCCCTCCCACCTATCCTCTGCTATCCACCCCGCTCCTGTACAGTCGCTGCTGTCTACACTGTCCTCCCTGCTATGACATAATACTTCGGATCTTTCAAAGTCTCCTTAGAGTGCAGATATTTGTCGTGTTGAGTGGGATGCAAGGATGACTCAACATGCACGAAACTATAAATTGAATCACATTAGCAGAAGGAAACACAAAAATCATATGATACTATCAATTGATACAGAAAAAGCATTCAATAAGATACAACATCCCTTCATGACTAAGACTCTCAGCAAAATGGATATATAGGAGAGACATTTCTCAACACAGTAAAAGCCACATATGACAAACTCATAACTAATATCATACTGAGTGAGGGAAAGCTGGAAGCTAAAACTCAGAACAAGGCCAGGCTGTCCATTTTCTCCTCTCCTTTTTGGCTTACTACTGGAAGTCTTGGCCAACACAACCACATAAGAGAGCAAAATAAAAGGCATTCGAATAGAAAAGGATGAAGTGAAATTGTCCCTATTCGCAGATGACATGATTACATATTGAGCCCTTGGGAAAGTCAAGATGTATTTTTGTGCAGAAAAACATTGGGACCAGCAGATGGCATAATGGTTACATCATTGGACTCCCACATAGTCAACCACAGTTCGAGTCCTAGACCAGGTGCCTTGAACAATTTAGGCTGGGTGCATGTACGTGTGTGCCCAAGATCCTGAGAGTAGAATGGAGGAGAATGGATTGTGGCATGGCCATCCCTTCTGATGGGTGATTTCTTCCTTTCTGTCTCTCTGGTGAGCCCTATAGCAAAAATCTCTCCCTAAAAAGAAGAAAGAAAAACATAGAAAAATACTTCATGACTTTTCCGACAATCAAATACAGAGAAAACTTTTGAAACATTCACAAGAAAGCTGCAGAAGAGATAAATGAATTCAGTAAAGTGGCAAGAAACAAAATGAGGATACAAAAATCTATAGCATTTCTATACACCAACAATGAGCAGACTGAGGTTGACTGAAGAAAGCAATGCCATCTATAAGAGTCACACACACACACACACACACACACACAATACTCAGGTGTAAACATAACCAAGGAGGTAAAAAACCTCTACAAGGAAAACTATGAAAAACTGAAAAAAGAAATTGAGTATGACACATAAAAATGAAAAGACATTCCATGTTCTTAGATTGGAAGAATTAACATAATCAAATTTCAATTCTACCAAAATTAATTTACAAATTCAAAGCAATTCCAATCAAATTACTGATGACATTCTTCATAGAAACAGAAAAAACAATCTCAAAATTTGTCTGAAATTCTAAAAGGTCCCATATCATCACGACAATACTGTGCAAAAATAATAAAATAGGAGGCATTTAGCTACCCAACCTCAAAATATATCACAAAGCTATGATAGTCTCACAGGCTTTATATAAGGGATTGAGAACCAAATACTCTCTCACTCAGTAGCCCATGGTAAGTGTGAAATACCATGAGTTTGATTTTCATCTCTTTGGGTGAAGGCAACTGTAATGTCCTTATTATACAGAGAGATCAAGTATAAAAACATCCATTTAGTAGCACTAAGTGTGGAAGTGAGTGATTCTAATCCACCCCAGGAGGTGTTAATTTAGGGGAATTGGTTAAACCAATAAACATAAGCCTTAGGAATGAGAATGAAAAGGAGAAAGGAGCAGGGGGCATTGTAGGAAAGGAATGCCCTGGAAACTTTCCAAAGGCTGTTTAGGATTTGAAAGGTAAACTGAAAGCCTAGAGGGACTCAGTTCTGGTGAGCAGAAGGGACTGAAGATATTTTAGCTTCATGTTTAAACAATTATGTCCTGCCCATAAATGAAAAGATCTGTCCCAATCAGTCAAATGCCTGGGAAATTTGGAAAAACGATTTCTTACTTTAGAGTTTGTTTAATCATTCTCTGTTGTTGTTGTAGATGTTATTTAAATTTTTTGACTTGACTATGATATCTCAGGAAAGTTAAAATATTGCCTGACTATTCACTAATGATATAATTCACTGGATTATTTGCTTCTAATGCATTCTATTTTTTAATTTGATTTTTCAAAATGACCTTTTTTCTTAATAACCTAAACCTCTACAAAAAAAAAAAAAACTAGTAAAATATCAGTAGTTATTTTTCCAGTTTCCTATGACTTCTTTACTGTATTAATAAATATTTCATCCATTTCATAATCACTTTTGTTTTGTTTCTCAGTAATTCCACATTATTCATGAGGTATTTAAAAGCCAGACAAAGAATTACACCAAGAACTTTTTAGGTTCAACATGTTGAAGGAAACAGAAGTGCTGATTAGTTAAGAATTAAATAAAGATAGGAATTAATAAGATTTGCCCCAGAGACCCCCTGTATCTAGCACTTGCCCTTTAAATACTTGAAACTAACTCAGTAAGGTAAATACTGTAATTGTCCCCCATTTAGTAGAGAGGAAAGAGCCTTACATTAGTTATTGAGACCAGGGTCATTCAAAGGGTATGACTGGAATCAAAGTCCACCTGATTCCAAAGCCTCTGTAGCACAATACTATTAATCATAAACCCTCTATACAACCAATGTATTATGCTGTATTATTAAATTATGAGTTATAGATTGTTATTATTAATATTATCATAGTCTCTAAGTGTATCAGGTCAAGGAACTACAAGTTATGCAATTTATTTAAGGCTAATTAATGTTCTTTTCTTCTTTCCTTTCATATTCAAAATATCACCACAACCAGCTCTGTGGCACAGCAGTAATGTGCTGCTCTCAAGAAGCTGGATCCCATGAGGTGACCCTGAGTCAGATCTCCTGCCCCGTGGGTCTGAAACATGTCACACATTCAAGCAAGTACCCAGGATTCAGTGGGCTAGAGGACCAGAGGAAGGAATTAGTGCGACCAAGCTTGGTGGCAGGTGCTCCTCTTTCTCTCGTGTACATGTACAACATTCGATCATGAATACAGAATAAAATATATTAAGAAAAAATCACCAGCCAACCAGTGTTGCGGTAGTTAAAGCAGCTGAATCATGCACAGCCAACTGAGTGGCTCAAGTCCATCTTGGCAACTTGAAAATCAGCAGGCACGTGCATGTCTGTGTGTGTGTGTGTGTGTGCGTGTGTGTGCATGCACACACACGCACACACACGCACACATGCCCAAAATTCCAAAGCAAGGAGAAACAGAAAAGGGACTGCAATGTGATCATTGACCATGGGGGTGTTTTCTCACTTTTCTTTCTCATCTCTCTATGGCAAGCACACATGCCCTCTAGGAAATTATAAATTTAAAACAAAAAATAGAAATCACCACAACCTAGTGAGCCATTAGGTCCTTCATCTTCATTTTCACTGCCACCATTCTAGTTCATACATACCTTGGTCCTTCTGGCCTATGTCATTGTAAGCAGCTCCTAATTTGTCACCTTGCCTGTTTCAGGTTCTTCTCCAATCCCACTAACTGGTGACCAGTAATCTCCATTGTTCACCCTTTTTATCCAGTTACTGTCTGTCTAAACCCTTCAACGATCACCCTAACCTTCAGCAGGAGTCCTTTACTTATGCTCTGAGACTCTTTAGAGTGCTGTGGGGATATCAGGGGTGGTGTTGTTTGCGTTTTAGCCATCTCCAACCCATTCATTTTCCTAAAGCAGATATGTTGTTAGATACACACATACACACACACACACCCCCCACACACATATGTGCATATGCTTATATAGACGTGTATATATATGTATTTCATACTAGGATTAGAAAAGAAACCTGTAGGGTTTATTGCTTTAATTTTAAATTTAAAAGCCACTGACCTACTGAATAAAATCAAATTAAGATTCATGAGTTTCCACAAATAGTTCCAAAGTACTTCTCAAACCCATCTTTACGAATCCCCTCCAGAAGCTTCAATTTTTATGAAATAGGGCTGGGCCTGTGCCTCCTTTTTATAAGACTTTCAACTCCATCACCTCATTCTCTTCCTACCTCTCTTCTTAGATCAGCCTCAAAAAACAAATTTCTCTTCTAAAGCTTTGTTAGTATAGATCTTATTAGGATTTTCTTTTCCTCTCCTGTAGAATGTAATGACTAAAGGAAATTTCCAGTTCAATTTAGAAAAACTGGAGGGAATCTTTATCCATCTGATGACCTTCTCTGGTACAGACTGCACTGGTCTGAAGACGAGATAGTTGTCTAGCCCTTTACAGTGGACTTTGGGGAGGGCAGCATAATCCCAATGACCTCTTTAGAAACTGTTAAGCCCTTGCACACTCCTCAGATTTCATTGTGAAAATGTAACTGTCCTGGATCAGTGAGAAGGTTTTCCTTCTGAGCAGCAGTAGCTTCCCAAAGCAAGTTGGAAAAAGTCTTCCTGGTTCATGTTATATAAGGAAAGATCACTCAGACTGACATGACTGAACTGTACCAAGGGTCCTGGACACATGCACCCATGTTCAACATGCTTTCAGGTCCACCTGGGGATCCAAACTCATGGTCAGCCATGTGGCATCCAGCCCTGAAGCCCAATTTGCTACCAACTGTCAACTGTGCCTGAAAGCACTAGTATTTGAATCAGTCCCAGGAATCTTCAGTATTCTTCCTAGATTTGGAAAAATTTAGAAAAACCTAGGGCTAATGGAAGATATTATCATTCTTTTAAACATTTTAAACTGAGTTCGTATTTATAGGGCATTTTTCAAAAATTATTGAAATGTACCACTCATTAAGTAGCTGGTGTAATGGACATTTGTTAATTCTTGTTTCTTGGCATCTTGATTGCTGTCAGGACTCTCTCTTCATTGCAAAAGCCACAAGGATGATTACTGTTTTCCATGGGGTTCAGACTCTGAGGGTGAAGATAGATGGGCTG